AGGGTGTTGCTGCGGGGGCGCGTGGCTTTGTCATGGGGTGGTGGGACCTCCTTGGGGTGGGGGAGAGCCCCTGTTGGGCTTTGTCCCCTGTGGGACTTTGTCCCCTACGCCTTGTCGCCAGCGCCCTTGAGTGCTGGTGGGGAAGCTGGGATGCCGGCCGCGGGGTCCTGCGGGGTTTTACCACCCGCTTGGTGCCACGTCCCCAGTGTGGCTGCGTCCCCAGGGAGGGTGTTGGCATGTCGGGGGTCCCCATTGTGGCTGAGGGGGTGTTGGGGACTGCCGGCGCCACGCGGAGGTGGGGGTGCGTTGGGGAAAGGGGATAACGCAGCTGGCTCCGCTCCGGCTCCGTCACAGGTCGGTGGCCACTGCAAGAACATCCCTACGCTGGAGTACGGCTTCCTCGTCCAGGTGAGTGTCCTGCATCCCGCTCGTCCCCGTCCCGCTGCCCAGAGCATCCTCCCCGCTGCCCCACGTCCCACTCAGCACTGTCCTGCTTCCTGGAACATCCTCCCCACGCATCCCACATCCCGCTGAGCCCCAGCCCACTGCCTGGAGCATCTTCCCCATTGTCCTGTGTCCTGCTGAGCTCCATCCTGCTTCCCGGAGCATCCCCCCCACTGCCCCACGTCCCTCTCAGCACCATCCCGCTGCCCAGAGCATCCTCCCTGTGGCTCTGCATCCCACTTACCCCGGTCCCGCTGCCTGGAGCATCCTCCCAAGTGCTGTGGCCACCGCTGCGGCTGACTCCCACCATCCTCTTCCCTCAGATCATGAAGTATGCGGAGCAGCGGATCCCGACACTCAATGAGTACTGCGTGGTGTGCGACGAGCAGCACGTCTTCCAGAACGGCTCTATGCTCAAGGTGTGGGGACAAGGTGCAGGCGGGCATGGACTGTCACCGTGTGTCACCATCCCTGACCCTCCTCACATCCCCTGTCCCCTCCGCAGCCAGCGGTGTGCACCCGGGAGCTCTGCGTCTTCTCCTTCTACACCCTGGGCGTCATGTCCGGCGCGGCAGAGGAGGTGGCCACAGGCGCTGAGGTAAGTGTGTGCGCAGTGGATCACTACGCCATCACCTCGGGCTGCTGTCCCTTCACCCCACGCTCTGTCCCCAAGGTGGTGGACCTGCTGGTGGCCATGTGCCGTGCCGCCCTGGAGTCCCCCCGCAAGAGCATCATCTTCGAGCCTTACCCTTCCGTGGTGGACCCCAACGACCCCAAAACGCTTGCCTTCAACCCCAAGGTAAGTGCCGGGGGGGCAACTCTTCCCCCATTCCGGGGGTCAGTGGGGCTGGAGGGAGCTCTGAGGACCCCTCCATGATCACCCCTCTCTTTCCCCACATGCAGAAGAAGAACTACGAGCGGCTGCAGAAGGCCCTGGACAGCGTGATGTCCATCCGGGAGATGACCCAGGTACACCACCGTGGCCCCACATCACCCATGGCCCCATGTGAGGCCTCCCCCAGTGCGGGATCCTTCGCTGGGGGTGGCATTTTGGTGCCGATCTCCATCCTGCCGCGGTTGGGTGGGCGCTGGGGGACCCACCCCTACCCTCTCTTGCCTCTACCAGGGGTCCTACCTGGAGATTAAGAAGCAGATGGACAAGCTGGACCCCCTGGCCCATCCCCTCCTGCAATGGTAAGGCCGAGGGTGCTGCGGCCCCATCCTGCTGCCCTCCCTCCCTCCCCACTGTGCTCCGTCCCCCGGGACACGGGATGGGGTGGGGGGCAGCCGGGTATCCCCGGCACGGGCTCCTTGGTCCCTCACAACCACTTTCTCCTGGGGGGGGGTGGTGTGACCATCCACTGTCCTCAGGGCGGGTTCTGGCACAGCTCCCAGCTCAGCCCCCTTCCCAAGGGAGCGTGGGACCACCCTGTCTGACCTTCCTCCTCCTCCTCTTCCTCTTCCCAAGGATAATCTCCAGCAACAGATCCCACATCGTCAAGCTGCCCCTCAGCAGGGTAAGGGGTTCGGCTGGGCTGCAGGTGGGGCGCAGGATGGAGGGTATGGAATGTGGGATGTGGGATGTGGGATGGAGGGTGTGGGATGTGGGATATGGGATGTGGGATGGAGGGTATGGGATGCAGGACACAGAGTATGGGATGCGGGATGTAGGATATGGGAGGTGGGATGAGGGAATAGGATATGGAAGATGGGATGTAGGATATGGGATGCAGGATCTGGGATCTGGGATGTGGGATGCAGGACATAGGATATGGAAGGTGGGATGTAGGATATGCGATGCAGGCTGTGGGATGGAGGAAGCGGGATGCAGGATGAGGGATGTAAGGATATGGGGTGGGCGATACAAGGCTCTGGGATGTAGGATGCAGCTTCTGGGATGGGGTCTGCAGCTGGTGAGACATGGGAGACAGGATATGGGCTATGGGATGGAAGATATTTGAGGTGGGGTGGGGGACGAGAGACGGGGGATGCCACGGGCCCTCCTGGCAAGCTCGGGATGGCCAAAGCAGGGCTGGGCCGGGCACGGGGCCAGGCTGCCGTGCATGATCTCTGTCTGTCTGTCTGTCCTCTCTCCCTGCCGGCGCCGCCTTTGCTCTTCCCTTTCCCCTGGTAGCAGCTGAAGTTCATGCACACCTCCCACCAGTTCCTCCTGCTCAGCAGCCCCCCCGCCAAGGAAGCCCGGTTCCGCACCGCCAAGAAACTCTACGGCAGCACCTTCGCTTTCCAGTGAGTTGCCGGGGAGGCAGTGGGAGCCCCCCCAAAACGGGCGCCATGGGACAGGGTGCCGTGGGGCTGACGTGGGGCTGGCTTTTTCCAGCGGCTCTCACATTGAGAACTGGCACTCCATCCTGCGCAACGGGCTGGTCAACGCTTCCTACACCAAACTGCAGGTAACGCTCCCCTGCGCCCGAGCCCGCCCCAGGGCAGGCAGGCAGGCAGGGAGGGATGCAGGCAGCTGGAGACGTGCTGCCTGCAGAGGCCAGGCTGCCTCCGCCACCGTGCCCGAGCTGTCGGGGTGACCCCGCGTCGCTCACCCTGGTGTTTTCCTGCAAGCTGCATGCAGCAGCCTATGGCAAGGGTATCTATCTGAGTCCCATCTCCAGTAGTTCCTTTGGATACTCAGGTAAGAGGCTGCCTGCGCTGCCCAGTCCTGCCTGCGCTCCCATCCCCACTCCCTGCATGGGCCCGGGGATGCTCGGCATCGTGCCGGCCGGAGGAGCCGCGTGGGAGCGGGCAGCGTCCCGCATCCTTCCCACCCGCACCAGCCTCATCCCCACCAGGTCAGGGCTTTCCGATGTGTGGGGCAATTAAAACCCCAACATTTTCTAAGATCCAAAAGCCGCTGCACCCACTTTTTGGGGGGTTACCAGGGTTTGGCTGCAGGGCAGGAGCACCCAGAGTGGCCGTCCCTGTCTGTGGCATGCGTCCCCATGTCACCCCCGGGGAAGTGGCTGGGAGTGACGCCTCGCTTCTCCGCAGGGATGGGGAAAGGGCAGCACCGGATGCCTTCGAAGGATGAGCTGGTGCAGAGGTACAACCGGATGAACACCATCCCCCAGGTGATGGGCTGGGGGACACCGTGGGGGGACAGGGACGGGGACATGGCACCCACGGGTGAAGGGGACATGGCAAGCCAAGCCCATCTGGAGATGTAACACCGGTTGCTCTCCCCACAGACCCGCTCCATCCAGTCCCGCTTCCTCCAGAGCCGCAACCTGAACTGCATCGCGCTTTGCGAAGGTGCGGGAACGCGTTGGGGGGTGACAGAGGGGTGGCGGGGCACCACCCCCATCCCTGGCTCACTGGGTGGGTGGAGGAGGGAGGGAGGGTCCCCACCATGGGCTGCACCCAGCGGGGACCTCCGTCCCCCGTCTGACAGCCCCTTCCCCCGGCAGTCATCACCTCCAAGGACCTGCAGAAACATGGCAACATCTGGGTCTGCCCCGTCTCAGACCACGTCTGCACCCGCTTCTTCTTTGTGTGAGTCCGTGGCTGCACCCACCTCGCTGGCACCCATGGGACACCCCCGGCACACCCCCTTACCCCCACTTCTTCCCTCCCAGGTACGAAGACGGCCAAGTGGGAGATGCCAATATCAATACTCAGGACCCCAAAATCCAGAAGGAGATCATGCGCGTGATTGGGACTCAGGTGTACACAAACTGAGAGGTGGCGGTGGGGACCCCCCCGGGACACCCCCGGGTGCCGAGCGAAGACCCCAGGCAAGGCCGGGGAAGGACGAGTGGGTTTTGAGCCTCCCGGGCAGGGCAGAGACGGGGGCCGACACCGGCGGCTCCACCCTGTACATAGGCGTCAAGCATCCAGCGAGCACCAGGCAGGTTTATGTGGTCCCTTGTCCCCTCCCCGTCCTGTCCCCCAGTGTCCCCGACCCCGTGGCAGCGTGGAAAAGGAGCTGTGGGGGCCGGCGTGGCCAGTGGCCGCC